TGAACTCTGGAAGTGTGAGGTTGCAGCACCACCTTAAAGGAGTAGTTCACTTTTTAAAAAAACTTTTGCTGATAATTTACTCACCCCCATGATGTCATCCAAGATGTCAATGTCTTTCTTTCTTCAGTCGAAAAGAAATTAAGGTTTTTGATGAATTTTGACATTCCAGCATTTTTCTCCATATAATGGACTTCAATGGGAGCCAAACGGTTCAAGGTCCAAATGAGAGTTTCAGTGCAAACTGTTCAAAGGGCTTCAAATGATTCCAGACGATGAATAAGGGTCTTATCAAGCGAAACAATCGCACATTTAATAAATAAATAACAAAGTTTAAGTTTTATAAGCACAAATGGTCGCCTTGCTCTGTTCTGTGATGCGCGTTCGTGACTCTCCTGTTCGAACTCGTTCATCAAAATGAACGAATCTTTTCTCGTGTCATTTGGTTCATTCAACGAACGAAATGAATGAACTGACTCGGAAAAAGATTTGTTCATTTTGATGAACGCGCATCACAGAACAGACCAAGGCGACCATTTGAGTTTGTAAAACTTAAACTTTATTATTAATTTTTGAAATGACCAATCGTTTCGCTTGATAAGACCCTTATTCATTGTCTGGAATCGTTTAAAGCCCTCTGAACAGTTTGCAGTTTGTACTGAAAGTGTCTTTTGGACCTTGAACCATTTGGTGCCCATGCAGTGAAGTGCATTATATGTGAGAAAATCCTGGATTGTTTTCATCAAAAACCTTAATTTCTTTTCAATTGAAGAAAGAATGACATGGACATCTTGGATGACATGGGGGTGAGTAAATTATCAGCAAAAGTTTTTTTTTTTAAAGTGAACTACTCCTTTTACGAGAATATCTGTATTACTATAGGTTGTTGCAGAAATAAATAGTCAGGTATGGCTGTGTATAAAGGTGATGATGCACAACCAGATGAGACACATGTCCCATGACCAATCTAAATTATCCAGCTCCCATTTTCAATAGGAAACTACCCAAGCAACAATCGCTTAGCAAGATTGCCAGCAACATTGCTCAAAATGTTGCCCGGTATATCATCACCTTTACTCTGTGGTAGTATTATCTTCGCTCTGATTACTCTGTCCTGTTCGGCACTTTGGTCAAACATGAGTTGTTTTTAAATGTGCTTTACAAATACAGAAAGAACGAAAGAAAGAAAACGAACGAATGGACGTTGTTGTGATACTTGCCGGACAAAAGTTTTGAATAAATAAGACTTACCAAGGCTGCATTTATTTTATATTAATGATAAGGATGTTCAACAAAATTACTGTATAATTTGATCAAATAAATACAGCCTTGGTGAGAAAAGAGACTAAAAACATAAAAAAAAAAATCTGTATTATTCCAAACTTTTGGCTGGATTAAAGATGACCAGAGGTACGAATCCCTGCTTAGGACTTTAGGCTTCTTTAAAATATTATCAAAAAATGTTTGTCAGTTTAGGGCCTTTAATGTATAGAAACCAGTAACAATACTGTACCTTTACTGATTGGAAACTGTGTGATGTCCTTAGTATGTACTAGGTGCAATGCTTTTTTAGATTAGATCCAGTCAAACAACCATTTCTATGTGTATTTTCATCCATGCTGGAGTACGAATAAAAAAGTATTTTGCATGATTTCACAAGTCAAGTTTATTTCTTTTTTTTTTAAAATCAATACACACATCTAGATGCTTCCGTATAACACGACTCCAAACAATGTTAAAGGACGTACCGGTACATTTCCGTGGACAAACATTGGACATATTTCCAATTGGTTAATGTTTCATATGGCAGATACAGATATAATTCCGTTAAGTCTAACCAAAGCACTGGTGTGTATTGAAACCCTGTTTGTACGCGTAGCTTTTCCCACACTCTGAGCAGCTGTACGGCTTTTCTCCGGTGTGGCTTCGGAGGTGAACGTTTAGAGAACTCTTTTGAGCGAAGCTCTTTCCACACTCCATGCACGCGTACGGCCTCTCGCCTGAATGAGTGCGCTGGTGTATTCTGAGGTACGTTTTTTGAGCGAATCTTTTACCACAAACTGTACAGACATAAGGTTTTTCTCCGGAGTGTGTTCGCATGTGTGCTTTCAGGTAGGTTAACTTGTTGAAGTTCCTTCGACAGAATACACACTCGAACCTTTTCTCTTCTGAAATATTTGAGTGGTTGTGTGTACTGTGGAAATTTTGCTCTGATGTACAGTCTCCATGTATCGAAATTGTTCCTTCAAGAAGTTGTTCTTCGGCTTGCGGCTGTTGCACGTTCGCTTGGACTTGCTCATCTGAAGGTACGGTGTATGTGATAAAATCCTCAGAGCTCTGGGCAACACATCTCTCATCACTGGTCATTACTGGACCTGCAATTCAATAAACGACACACGTGAACATCTGAATATAATAAGAGTTAATAGCAGCAGTTCTTTCTCCACAAACCTCTCAAACCGCTCCTTTGGTCTGCATTACGTTTACTTTTCCTAGCGCAATCGTCAAATGTCTCCTCCTTGATCATGATCATATCTGGTTCTTCATCCAGCAAATTTACTGGCTAAAAAATGGAAATTAACAAGAGAACTAGTTTAGTGTATTCTGACATTGCATTATGTACATCAACGACAGTATGTGTGAGACCAACCTCTTCTGTCATGGTTGATGAGTCCAGGTGTGTGTCGTCCTCCTGCTCACCAACATTTGACTCCTGGTGTCTCCAGAGGTTCATGCACCATTCCTTACCGAAGACATTGTCAACTCCGGGGCGACGTCCAGACTCTGTAAGAAATGCATTGTTTTTTAGTCAAGTCATGTGTAAACAGCCTCTGATTACCAAAGTCAATGTCAACTTTGCTGAATGACACTCAATGACTCGACAAAGGCCAAGTTCTTATAATAATACTGTTATGGTCTCTGGGTAAACTACAAAAATGTGACTGTGGAACGGTGACGCCATGCGCATGCGTATCACATGTTCAGTCTATCGGCGCATATTGATTCTTTACAGTGACACAAATAATAGGCCTATAACGTTTTTAATCGGTCTCGTGGATGCGTGATCGTTTTGATAACGCTTTCCTTTGTACGCAAATGAAAAACTTCCTGATTTTAGTAGCTTGTTGTCATGTAAACGTACCCTAAGGCTCATCTATTGTTCAAGGGCACAATCACGGTAAAGGGAACGCCCACTGCAGGCTTTAAACCAGCCTAGAAATCAGATATAGCTACCCATGTTTGAGATGCAAAATCATAGTCATGTATCGTGCATTAGTAAATCACCTCGAAGTCCCGGATGGCTGAATGGAGCTTCTGTTCCCTTCATCTTTCCAGCGGTTTTCCGAGCAGACTGAAGTTCACTCTCCAGAAAATGACATTTCTTTTTCAGAGATTCATTTTCGTTCGTACATCGTGAAATCTCCAATCGCAGCAGCAACGAATTCTCCTCGAAAAGTTTGCCTATTTCAACAACAGCTGTTTTCGCCAACATTTCCATTATAGATGTTATCTGCGTCTGCAAATCGGCAGTATTCATGATTTCCATTGTTTACTGGACCATTTATCAGAGACGTTTAATATAAACACCCGTCCTTCGACCTGCCAGCCACCGCTATAGCCTTTATGTAGAGCTACTTTTATTTCTCAGTAAGGAATGGCCCTGTATGACTATATTTCTGAGGATTGAATTATAGCATATCTAGCATCTTGCAGAAGAGGGTCACGTGATGAATTACCGTAAACCACCGTGTAGAGCGCGCACAACTGTAAACTTTTGGTTGGCTGCCTCCAAAACGGGTTTGCCAGTTAACGTTGACAACTATTGCTAATGAATCCCTGTCCGGTTAAATTGTTGTAGGTGGAATTTAACCAAATATGGTAAAATGTTGTTGCAGGTGCTCTCTGAAGAACACATAAGAGTTCACCCGCCTTGATCCCACCGTGATGAATGGTTGCCAGGGCGTTGCTGTGGTGTTCTGATTGGTTGCTTCTGGGTCACGTCAAACGAGCCCACACGACTGATTCCTAGATTTGATCCGTCAGGTAGGCTTTTACCACATTTTATGTAACACAAATGTTTTATGGTGCATATTTCACATCACTAGGAATACATAATTGAAATTAGGCACTGTTTTACTGGGTCCATGTGTAGAACATCTTCCATAGGTTTATTTTTTTCTCATCATCATCCATAGTTTTATTTACAAACCATCTCTGTAAATTTAATTGCACTTGTTTTGGTCGTCCAAAGGTACACTGTTAAGACTTTTCAGTTTTTACCAGCAAGTTACTGTAATTAATGACAGTAATTATTGTTATGGTTTCAATTACATATTTACAGTAAACAACAATACACAATAGAGCCAATGCTGTAATCTACTATTGTATAAAGTAAGAAAAGTAGTACTATAACATTATAGTATCACAGCAATTATATTATTCCCTAGAAAAACACATCAGTCGATGCATGTTTTTTTTTTGTGGCATGAAAGACTTAAATGAACGTAATAAAATATTTACAAACATTCCAGCAACATTGAAATATAATTGTAAAAGTAACAAAGTAAAAAAAGACGTTAGAGTTTAAATTATCATACAAGAAGTAACTAGTTGTAGTTGTAGTCAGTGCAGGGCTAGGATGAAGACAATGCTGAAACAGATTAAAAAAATGTCAGTGTTAATATCTACCCTAGTCACCTTTAAGACTTGTAGTTACGTTAACATCAAAACATTTTTTTTTTTTTGGAATTCAGATTTGTCCGAACAATTTTTAAAAACTACTCACACTCACTTAATTTGTCTTTTTCCACTCAAATTCTGAAAGCCTCTGCATAAATGTAGCCACACGGGTATTGAAGCTTTGGGGTTTCCTTTGGACAGCTGAACCTGTCCTACGGCTTGTACCTGATTTTGAGGTACATTTAGTCCCCTCCGGATTAATCCTTACAAAGAACCTGAAGGAAAGCAGATACATTTTTAGAAAAAACATAAAGTTTAACAACTATGTCAGTAACTGAAACACTGTTTAAATGGTTTTAAGAAGTTTGTTATCTTAGAAAAGTTGCAGGATGCCCAAAACAGGGACCTTGTTTATCGAAAGCCATATTCAGACGGGACTAGTTTTCCAGGGGGGGGCGTTTCTCAGATGGAGTTTGCGATTTTAATTCATCCGAATTTGCCATGTCTGTGTTTTTCTCACACAACCTACTGTAAGTAAAAATTCCAGAACAAATTACCTGTTTTTCTGCAAACTCAACGGTCCTCTGGGAAATCTAATCCCATGCGAATGTCTGTGATTTCCACATCGATATTATATCATACTAACGCTTCCAATTGTGTGTTTTTTGACCATCCTTAGCTACTATTTGTCCGCCAATCTTACTTATGCTTTCATGTAATTTCAACATGTATGGTGTCCGAAAGAAAACAAGTCAAATTATAAAATTAATAAATAGAGCCAAATCTCGGAAACATTTTTATATCAGTGTCGGGTATGATACTTGTCTAGATTTCTCTGCTCACTTATGTGGGTTTATTATAAACAGCCACTTATATGAAATATATTTAAATACATTTTCATAATAAATCAAAGTTATAACAATAAGTAATTCATTAAAAAAACATGTATGTAATGCATGCAAGCACAGCAAATGACCTCACAGCAAACACACTCGCACGTCTGTAATAAACACAGATGTTAGTGCCATCCGAATCGGTACATGAAATCACAGACACAGAGTTAATTAATTATAAACTTTGCTTGGAGAACTAGTCCCGTCCAACTATGGCTTAATCCTCCTATTAAATGATTATCATGCACTGCAAGTCAGTTTCTCTTAGTGTTGCCATTGTCACAGTATACTACAGTGTCTGGTGAATGATGTATAATTTATTAATTAAAACCAATAAGCTTAGTAGTTAGCCATCATGAAACTGCATTCTCAACCCATTTTACTTCCATAATTGGAAGTATTTCAGATCTAAAAGAAGCATAAGTAAAATACCAAAAAAAAAAGAGTTGCGTGTACAAATGTCATCAAAGCTCACCTCTGAATGAGCTCAAGGGTGGCACTGGCTGACTCCTGGTACTCGATATTAAAAACATAGAAGCACCCAAAGAACACTGACAATGCCGCTGCAAAGTCCAGCTGGTTGTCTATAGAATGTGTTACTCTGCCCTCAATACTGATAAACCACTTGGACGAAGTCAGCAATGTATCGCCTGAAAAATAAAGAATCACTGTAAATATATATGTATATCCAAGTACAAACTAACGAGTTTAGTGTAGCGACGTCTTACCAAGCATGATGAGCCGGGGCGTTGCCGGCAAGCTCATTTCATTTTCGATGGACATCTTGGTAGCAGTTTCCTTGAAAACAAAAAAAACCAAAAACATCTTAACACTCGGCTTTTGTCAAACCCCCTTCAAAACTTTGGTTGAACTATTAACACTTCATAGTTACTGACATCTGCTAAGATGAACACAGAGTTGTCCTTTTCCTTAAAGTATTTCATCATTAACAGGATGGCTGATATGGCAGTCCTGTTACTGTTTGCTGGATTGGCATCTTCGTCGATCTCATTTAGGAGACTCTGGATTTCTTCATTCCACTTCAGTCTCTGACTAGTGAAGTAGTTCAATATTCTCTTGGCTTTGACGACAAGGGTTTCGCTAAAGCGGCTTCTGATGTCAATCCCAGTCAGGGTTTTGAAGTGCCTGCAGAGGCCTCTTTCGGTGAACAGGAACGGCCAATGCCCCTCTATCTCACTGATGGTAGGAGGGGGGCTTGAGTTGATCATGTGGCGCTGGTAAACATAAGTCTGCTGCATTAAGTCGTCTACGTTGGGCAACTCTGAAGCCCTTGGGCCTGCAGACTGAAAAATCTCAGCCGCAACCTTCCTCTTCATTTCAAGAGAATCGGAAGTCTCTCCTTCTGGGACGGAAGTAGGCTGCCAATTAATGCATCCGTAACTGTCCACTTTACATCTGACTCTTTTCCCAGAGTAGCTGTCCTGTTGTCCAGCTCTCTTCGCTGATGGCTTTCTAGGTCGACGGATCCGGTGTTCCAAAACGTCTCTGTTCACATGTTCTACCCTAGTTTTTAGTTGTCTTTGTAGGCAACTGAAGCCATTTCCTAGTTGCTCTCCTTCCTCAGAAATGTCTCCAAATGTCAGGGGGAATGTAGTTACGATGGTTCGTGCTACTTCTCCACAGGCGGCCAAGTTAGGGTTTGGACAGTGGGCTTGCATGGCCGCCACGACAATCCGAACAAACTCCCTTCTTGATCCAGGTCGAGCCCTCTCTCCAGTGGTCGTTGCCTGAACGAGAGCTGGTGGCATGCGGTCCCAAGGAACCTGGAAACTTCTGATCCAGTTGGACTTGATAGGATAGTGAGGAATGAAGGGCTGTTCAAGAAGGGACTCGTTTGATGATAATGGAGTGAGAGTCATCTCGTTTGGTGGTCCATCCACTTGTCCAATGGATTCTTGGTAAAAAAACAATCATGGAAAGAGATACAAAGAGATTGAAATAGATTGAAGAGCCAACAAAGTACATTCTTCAGAGGCCTCTCAACCATCATTTATCAGCAAAACTTTGCTATACTCTATTGGGTCTCATTCACCATCAGTTGTGTGGATTATTCGTATCTATACCACAGGAGAACTTTTCAGAAATCAGCATAATTCACAAAATGTGAATTTGTTCTTTCTGAATTGAATTTTGTTCCAACATATAAATGAACTTGGAGTATTGAAACGAGCAAGCGTGTGCCCAAGGTTAATAATTCATACTTTGCATGTGACGTCACTAGTACTGGCTGGCGGGCAAGAACGCTGTTCTCCAGCAACGAAAACCAGTAAACGAGTCAAGGATCTTTCCAGGACGTCGCCAGTTTTTATACAAAAGTGGGTGTTTCGAGGTTTAAACGACTAGCCAGATAGTTGTGCGATTGGTTGCAAGGTAATTTCAACATTTGTTTGAATGCAGTGGGTGTATGATCATGTAATTAATCGTGTCTTTAGGTTAACCTGTAGTTTCACCAATCAACGCCACCAGCTTGTCCGGCGAGTCAGCTGTTTGTGTTATGAGGCTAACTGTACGTTCACACCGCCGCCGCGAGGGCGGCAAAATTCATTGAAAAATTAATGACTTCTGGGCACTTTGACGCTTTCGCCGGTGGCGGTGTAAACGCAACTGTCGTATTTTGCTAACAACAACAAAAGTGTGTGATAGGTTGTTTTGAGGTTTGTGATATCTATGGTTTTCAATGAGAAAGCTAGAGCTAGATTATTTACGGAGGAATTATTAATGCTTGATTATCAAATTATCAAAATTTCATCTGAACACATTTATAGCCCCAGCCAGGGTATGTGATTTTTCACATACAAGTGGTTTTGGTTGTTCCTACATTTTTTTTTGTTGTAAATTTAGAATACATTCGAGTGAACAACTCATAATTTGTGTGTGAAAATGTTTGTATGCAAACTTCATGTACAAATTTGTGAATGCACAGTTAGTCGATGAGATCCATTGTTTTGGAAATCTGAATAAATTTACTTAGTCTATAATGCAATGCAAGTTATTTAGGCTAATTCTATACAAGCTTTCAAGAGAATACAGATGTGGCCTTTAAAAAACATGTGAAATTGAAACAGATCCTGTCCAGATTCACTGCAATGTTACTTAGAAGAAACCATATC